ATGAGCCAAAGAACTTGCAATTTTAGGAGGAACTGTTAATAGGTGGTTGCTACAGGTTGTCCCCTTCATTTGCAGTATACAGGCACACAAGAAAAAATAATAATCATAATATAGAATATGTACACAGTATTCCAATTAATTCAATTGCTTCCTTCTCAAATGAATAGATAAATTGTTACTACCCTGGCTACTGTGCACAGCCTGAGTGATTTGCTCAACATCAACGAGAGGAACCAAAGTAAACTCTCACAAGGTCCTGATTTCCTTTTCTGTGTTCAGACAAGGTCGTCTTCTAGATATAAAACAATTATTAAGCAACCAAAAGCTTTCAAATTAATTGTGAAAACTTAAGCAATTTAAACCTAACCAAGAGCATCCACAAAATCATTTTCAAGACTACTGTCACTGACTTCTTCCAAGGACGCCTGTTATTGTACCAGACATGAGCTGAATTAACACTTGTAATTTAGAGTAGAGCAGTGGAGTCTAGTGGTAACGGTTGGCGGACTGAATAATCTAGCTGTGCTATCTAAGCAAGACAAGAAACTATTCCTGTGATGAGAAGACCACTCCGTCACAGAAGCCTGTTATAAAATTATCGAGTGACATGGGGGGTGGAAGGAATCAAGCCCGTTGTAATTGAAGTGACTTGAAATAATAAACGCACACACTTTCTTTAAACACAGCTTGCCACATCCTGAGAATCTGGAATCAATTCCTTCCCTTTCAAGAAGCTTAAAAGTAGAGGAACTTTGAAATGGCATGAGTATGTTTGCTTCTGGGCTTACAGCCCTAGCCAGCCTGTTCCAAACCTTTCAACGTTTTTATATTATAAGACAGAAAAGTTAGCAAAACAAAGATGGAAAAAAAAAGAATCAGAAATTCAGGGAACTATTAAAGAAGGGCAGGCTAGCTGCCAAATACCTTTGGTAAGCAAATGAATCATGATCAATAACATATTGCCATACAGACTTGCACAAGAAGGTTATCACCTGCTTCTGTGCCAGGTATAAAACAAAATGGCATGTGGCTAATGAAGTACTGCATGAATCCAGAAAAAAGCACTGTTTTCCTCTGTAAAGTTAAAGCATTTTGCTTCTAAGTATTTTTAACCATCCAGAAAAAATACAGATTTTTCCATAAAAACTTTGTCAAAATCAATAGGCCACCATGAAACACTTTTCTTTTGACAGTGCTGCATTTGTAACAGAAAACTGTTTTGACAAAAGGAAACCTGTTTTGTTAAGGGGATGTTTCAGCTTTCATTGTAAAGCGTATTGCTTTATATATTCACATATTTGCCAGCAGAGGGTATCACAATCTTAAGAAACAAACAGACATATGCAGACATACATTCTATAGACATAGAAATAGGTATCATTGTGTCCATTTTTGCATGTAAGAAGTTGGAGAGAGGCTAGTCCAACAAATTACAAATCTTGTTTTCTTCAGTAACATTTTTTCCGCTTTTCGGAAAAAAATCACCGAGGTTCTTTCAAGCTACAGGCTCTGTTGTCAGAGGCTTCTTACCACTTCTCTGAGGATAGGAACCATTACCATGAAATAGCTTCCATAAAAATGGCATCACTTGAAGTCTCAAATTGTTGTGTGACTCCAACCATCAACCGCACTAGGTGAAACACCAGCCTTGACTTATCTTCGGCATACATTAGGTTCTCATTAATTCCCATGTCCGATATCCTCATACTTCGTAAATCTCATTAATAATCCCAACCACTTCACCAAATTTTTCAGCAAAAATTGAACAGCCACAGGCTGTAGGGAGAGCTCATGTTACCTAGACCTCATGATCTCTGCTAAATCAGTATGCTACGAAGAACGATCACATATAATCCATCCAACCCACACATCTCACAGGTGGAGATAGGCTGATGCCACAAATTCATAGCCTGATTTCTCGCACACTAATGAATTCAGCTCCCTGATTTTCAAGTAAAGGGACTATAATATAAACAATCTGATGGCTGCTGATTTAGGCTACGTGGTATTAACCACCAGCCTATTCTAAGCCAAAAGAAATTATCGCAATATTGTTTTTGATATAATGCTCTGGGTTGGCTGTTCTGTTTCGGTGTTATCAATAAGTATTTTTCTATTTGTCTATTCTGATCATGTACAACTGATGTCCCAGGCACTATTGTGCCTTTCCTCCTTTAACCTAAGAATTGGGTCACCTGTAGATAGGAGACAATATATGATGATCTCTATATGTAAATTCATGAGGATTACCCATTTTAACTATTCTTCATTTCTAAATTTGGTAAGGGCATTGAGATTTATGAGAGCTGAGAGCTGCTGTGTACAGGAAATGCGTAACATAGCCACGAGCAACAATCTGGGTTCTTTTTGAATCTTACCCAGCAACCTGGGTTCTTTGGGTTCTTATCTTGGATCTCCAAGATAGAGAAAGAGACTCCTAAGATTCTCCTAAGTAGTAATTATATTTATTTATAAAGTGCTTTCTATTACTACAGAACTATATACAATTACTTCTGCTCTTCTACAGGACGGATGAGCCATCAGAACCCGTTCCACAATGGCATGATCACGGCTAGACCCCAGATCCCTTTTTTATTGCTGCTACAATTTTTAAAAATACCAACCAAAAAGAAATAGATCTGTTTGGAAATGTGAATACAGTCAATGCTGTCCTTTCCTTTCCTTTTCGCACATCGTCTTTTCACTGCTACAGGAATCGGACACAAATACCTTTAAATTAACTTGTTATCTGCCAGTAAATCGATGTTACAAAGTCACCCAAAGCACCATTCAGAATAACTTCTGTGGGTTCAGGTGAATTGGAAAGGATACTGTAGTGGGTAAAATGTCAGCCTGGGATAAGAGAAACAATTCTTGTTTAGCTCTTGAAAACCGAAGGCCAATTACTCTACAGAAATTGAGGTCTACTTCCTGTGTGGTGTAAGTCTACGCTCATATTGATGAGGTACTCAAAAGTCCTCAGGTAATTTACTCTGTTGATATAAATAACATGTAGGTACTACATATACTCCAGTAGTCTCTGCTTTATTCTCCTTGCACTTCAGTACTCCAGCTGTAAAAAATTAAGCTAAAATCATTTCCCTTCTTCAAAGGGGAAAGCTGAGTATCAGTATGTTCAGAGATTGCAAAGCGTCTGGATATCACAATAGCATCTATCTAAGGAAAAGAGTGAAAAGGTTTGGATGGAACAAAGCTTGTTGCTCTCCTGCAGCTTACTATCTCTCTCTTTTTTTTTTTTTTCTATAACCCTGGTATGCGCAATTGCCATTGAGGCCTTTCCTTTTATTTGCAAGAGTACCTAAAACAGAAGTTTGTCTGACAGAGCTAGAGATAGCTCCCATTAATCATACTGAAGCTAATAAAAAGGTAGAGACCCAACCGTGAGCACTTTGCTGGGTTAGACTCTTTGTGTTATAGTAGTGGACAACTGACCTTGAATTCCAGCTCTGGCTACAGCCAGATGCAGATACACCTAGGCTGACCATTTCCTTCTGGCAGGACCTGCCAAGCCTTATGAGTCCAGGGATTTGCATGTTGCACAGTCACTGAGAAACAACACATTGGGATTATGCATGGCAGACACACACTCAGGACAGCTTTAGAACGTAAGGGACAGAGCACTGTTGAATCTAAGATTTACAGTTTTGCAGCAGGCTATAAAAATTCCTTGTAAATAGCCAAGATATTTTATTTTCACTGCAACAGTTATTTAATTTAACACTCTTGATTTAGTTTCCTTTTACAAGCTTTCCTACAGTGGTTAGCTGAGCATCCTATCAGTATTAGGCAAAAATTAACTTTTTAGGATCCCTAAGAAGTGAAGCACTGTAATTTCCTTCTGTTTATAACCCAAAAATATTAAGGAGCAGATTGTTATCTGACATAAACCATCATTTTCCCATTTTCATCTTATGGGTCAGCCCCAGGCACTGAAATACAATTGTATAAATGAAGTTTGTGGCAGATCTGGAAGCCGAAAACCTTTCTCTGGAAATAACTGATGCAAATGCACACTTTTTAACGTACCTTACGTCTCTTCCTATGAAAACTAGTAATACAAGGTAAGATGTACATCAGTGCGCAACTGCAAATATTCTACTAGATCAGCTCAAAGAATGTGGTAGTGTAAATCCATTAGCCTTCATGAAGCAACAGTGGCTTACACTAGCTGAAGTTTTGCCTCTCTGAGGTAGATGTGAAGAGGAACGAGACGAAGAAAAGCAATTTCACTAAGAAGGTAGGGTATGCCTGTAAACATGCGTATCATGCAGGTTCTGGAGGGGTTATTTGTTTGGATGCATAACCCTGTAAGAACGTCTTGAGCTTACAGAGTGCAATTACATTTCTTAAAGCCAGAATAAATCGCCTTTTTCTTTTAATTGCTTTCTGTTCAATGTTTTGCTATAACTTGCTTTACATGAGCAAACTAGCTACACTAGCTTAAAATAATCATGAGATAATAGCTAGGGTAAGATTCTGATATCAATGGCTACATCTAACAAATTATACAAGATCAGGGCACAGGTTCCTCTGGCACAGCCATTCACTGCTAAATTGTTACCATTGTCCCTAGCACAGTTTTGGGTCTGCTCAGCTAGCATTCCTCTAAACAGTGCCTGCCTGGGCTGAGTACAGGAGGTAGCATGGGCAATTAACTATTGCCAGTAAGTAGTACAGGACCCTGTTTTGGTGAGAAGTTTAGCTGTATGGACAGGAGTCATGTCGTGGCAGCTGGTAAAAGGACTACTGAACAGCCTGTGGCCTGTTTTATTTCCTAGCGTAGGTGTAATTAATTAGACTACGGACATGTCCAACGGACATGGAATTAAGCCCACTGAACACACCATCCCAAACTGATCTGTGGCAGTGACTGATGTCATCTGCATACGCTTTACAATAAAATGATTACAGAATGGCAAAAATTATTCAATTTCTAAGCACATAAACACCCTGGCACATTTTATAATGATCCTACTTACCAGCATTATCCTGCTGCTTGGTATTTTTTATATATGCAGAAAATTTGGAGAAGATATCTATTCCAGCAGTGTTTGATTCCCGGTGCTTGGCAGCCAGCTTGGGATACCTGAAAAGAGAGGAACAGTTTGGAAAGTAACATATTGTTTTTACCAGCAATATAGTGATGATTACTAATACAATTTACAAGGAGAAAGAAAAAAGCCCTGTACAACCTACTGGAATTAACACTGTCATTTATCTCAAAACAACAGCTTGGCAAGACCCTCTTAATAATATCTTTGTCTGGCAAGACAGGCATTTGGACAGTTACACAGTGACGGCTTTATGACAAAGGTAATTGCACTGGTACTTTATGTGACCACGATCCAAGATACAGTGGCCTTAAATCAGAAGGAAGCCTGTATTTCCAATAAAGGTGCAGGGTAGTTTGGCAGCCAGCTCTCTCTATTATGAACGGCAGTCATGTCTAATTCCCTATTCTGAAAATGTATTCCAGAATGGAATAGAAGGGAGTGTTAGTATTACCCAGGAAGAGGAACATAAACTTTTCAGTCTCTGAATTGTTGTTTTTTAAAGACATCTGGCGCAAAGAAATATATTGATTTGAAAGACCAACACAAACTAATGACTCCTACTGATTTCAGTGAGTCTTGGATCCGAGTACAGAAAACGTAAATATCTGATCTCCTGCCTCAGGACTGGCCAATAGCTGCTGATTCAGTTGGAGGTAAAACACTCCACAAGGCACCTAGCCAATTTTCATTGATTCATAGATTTTAAGGTTCAAAACACAAGCCAAAGAATTTTTTCCCATTATCCTTGTATTAAGTCCAAAATGTTTGACTAACTGAGGCATACCTAGTGAATCTGACACTTTACTTGGTAGCTTGTTCCAATCATCCATATTGAAAAATCTGAGCCTCATATCTAATCTGAATTAGTTTGGTTACAACTTCCAGCCACAGGCTCTTGTCATTTCTTGACTAGAATAATGATCACTTTTCTGCCTCCAAAGCTCTTTGTACTCTGTAATTACTTCCCCTCACAACCTTTTGGACAAACCATGCAGCTCAGAAGCCTTAAGTTTCGCACTGCAAAACCCTGTTCCTGGCATAGATACTTTTGTGTGGCAATTCTCTGCATTCAGTTCCAAGTTAATTTTAGCACTTTTTGTAAAACGTGGACACCAGACCCCTACAAAAATTTTCTAGTATTGATCTCCTTAGTTCTGCATACGAGGGCATCCCGAAATGTGTACAGAGAAAACACTCTGCAGTTATTAGTCATACAAGTAACTTTCACACATGGAAGTCATCTCACTGAAGGCAGTAAGTTTCATAACTAAATATTACTCCTGTAAGCAAAGATTGTAGGAGGGAGTGCTTTTTGAGCACTCCTTCTAGGGCATCATTCATTCCTAGGAAATGGAATATTTACTGAAAAAAATCGCAAGTTCTTACTTTGGAGGTGCAAGAGTCTCTTCCAAGAATTCCTCAATCTTGTTAACATCTGTCTTGACTTCTCCATTAAAAGTCAAGAAAGGTGGGTGAGTCCCAGGAGCCAGGTTGTGTAGATCAGCTGGCTTTCTGCAGAGAGAAAAGAACTTGTGAAATTACTAATCTTTATGATCAAGTAGTCACATAGATATTTATAGTTCCTACAAAATCAGTTGTTTGCCCTTCTCTTTCTTCAGCAGTTGCGGTTAGAATACTTTGAAAGAACCCTGAGAATCCTATTTAATGTCAAAACATTCCACAAGTGGAAAAAAAAACCCTAAACCTGAATCCCAACTATTCCGTTGTGCACCACAGACTCTCTGAGCCAGATACAAATCTGACTGAACTCAGTAGGGGCTTTCTACAGGACAAACGCCAGATTATAGAACTACTTTCAATTAAACTGAACAACTTTTACCTTTTCAGGTCAACAGTGGTGACATTGAACACAACTCCTTTGAGCCAGAGGATCATGAAGAGACGCTGGGAGAATGGACAGTTCCCAATGCTTTCTCCATCTATACCAGCCTGAGGGACAGAAAGAGAGCAAAAATATAGTGTGGATGTGTTAGTTACCTATCTAACTCAAGAAGAAAAACTGGATGTTAAAATAAAAATTCCTAGTTCAAAAAGTAACGTATGGAGCCTGTTATTTAATATAGTTTATCTCCACACAAGAATGGAATTACTCCAGGACTTTGCCCTTGTTAGGACCTTAAGAAAAAACACAGCGCCTTCCATGAGGGCAGTTCTGGCTAAAGAAAATGTGTCTCTAGCTTATGTCTAACTACATTCAGGAGCAGCATATATATTTTTTCAATTTCTCTCACCCTAACAATACTGCTTGCTTAACGGATACGCCAGAAAATTCAGGACAGGCTTTCTGCTCCATTTAAGTCTATGAACTGCAGCTTCTATCAGTTCTGCTGATATCTGCTTCCCTGTTCTACTAAGACACTTTCAAAACGGGGACATTCAAATCTAAACCCAAGCACTCCTAATACTCAAGGGTATTTGCACTAGGACTGCTTGTTCACATCCAGTGAAACAACATCCTCAGACACAGACAGCTGGATCCAGATAGAAATCTGAATGTAACCTCTTCCAAAGTTCAAGGCAAATTTCAGGTACAACATTCAGTCTGTTCCTATCTCTAGTACCTAATGAGTTGCCTACAAACCACTGCAAAACAATAAAAAACTGCTAGTGTTAGCACTGAGGAAACAGCCTGTTTTTTTCCTCTAAAAATTTATGGTCCTTAGCCATGCAAATTCTGACTTTGAGCCATAGAGGGATACAAATAACCCCGGCTAAACTGAGCCAAAGCTAGGTCCAAGGACAACATCCTTGTACAATAATTATGCTTGTGGCCAAAGCTTTCAGGACGATACTGCTTTTGATAGATTTCCATTTTAATTTGTGGTACCATTGTGTTTAAAAGATTCTTACAATCCTGGTGAAGCAACCAACCTTCCTTTGTTGACCCATATGGGTTGCATAACTGTATTTTATGCACACAGTGCATAGCTGAAAACGGCTGATGAAAGAACTGAGCAAATACATGTTCTTTTCTTTTGGAGAAAATATCTTATTACTCTGCTGTCATAAATTTTGTCTTCTCAATATTCAAGCTGTGAGGTAGCATTTCTGTGTCCTAAAGAAGGAGTCGCATTATTGCAGTTCCGTGAAACATCCACAGCACAACTAGAAACATTTTGAGATGTGTCCATTGTTACAAATTCCGACCTTCCATGTGAAATGTTTAGCTGAAAGATTTTCTGGTAGGTGTCACGAATCTTTTATCAAGTCTTGAATCCAGCTTTAAATGACTGTGGATTAAAAAACAAATCCCAGGTTTCCCAGCCACCAAAATATGGAGAAAGTGGGGGTTCAAGGCTTGGAGACGTCCCATTGTAAAGTTTAGGGCTATGTACAGAGCTTTTCTCTGTGTTCAGATTGAGACTCAAGCGCTTACAACTCTAGAGATATTTGGATCCAGGGCTACAGTCTGGCTGCGCTTCTACTTGAAATTATGCATCTGCTATACACCTGGCTTGGGCAGGAATCAGCAAATGGCATGGCTGAAAGAGTGGTAAGCTACAAGGATGAGCAGGAAGCGATGCCTCTTCTCAGATGCCTGGGGTGTGAGTAGCCTAGCTTTCCACAACTTCATTAATTAAGTAGTTAGCTCTGTTCTGCAAGTTTCATGGCAAAACAATTGACAATGTTACCATGGGGAACCAAGCACCAAAGTGCTGGATACAGGAATTACTGTGAAATTACATTTGATGATTTGCCTTTCGCTTATTAAACCAGTGCCAAGAACTCTTAACTTCTTAGCCTTCCTTATAAAAAGAGGCAACTACTGTAGGAGAATACAGTGACATACTCCAAATTTCCCTTTGCTTTATTACCATCATAATCACAGTCGTAAACCTCATACTGGCGTTGGCTGACTCTACAAACAATAGATAGCAAACCTAAAGTTTGCAGAAAAATAGATCGACCACTGAATTAGAGGGCAAAAGAGTCAGGCAGAAGGCTTGATTCTAATCTTACCTGCTCTAGTTTTACTTTGGCTTACAACTCCGTTGAGTCCGATTCGCTCTTCACCTGACTTGCTTCAAAGTGAGCATAAAACACTAGTTTGCCAAGTCTTGCGCGTACCTTGCGAGAAAGGGGTCTTGCCTAGGGTTTGTCTCACAATAACACACACAGTTCCAGCCCTCGTACAGGTCTCAGGCCTGCATGGAGGCAAAATGTTTCCCTGCCTGTCCTAATCCATTTCTTGTGCTGTAAGTAACAAAATTCACCTTTCAAGGAAACAGGCTGAGGGAGTAACGCATTTCCCTGCCCTCTCCAACTATTTATTCTCATAGGAGGCGTACAGAAAAAACAGATCTGCATCTTTTTACACCGCCTCTATCCTGAAAGGAAACAGCAAAAAACCCTCTCAAGAACAGAGTGGATTAAAAGGCAGAAGCAAATGGAGGGGGGCTGGAGACTGAATGGCAATGAGGGGATGGAAGTGACAGGCTGCGTGAGGCTAAGAAACGTAGAATTCACTGCGGACAGGAGAAAGATGGAGAGCCTAAAAGAAATAGGATTCATTTGGAGATCAAAAATAAAATTAATTGTTAGGTCAGAGGAGACCTCCAACAGCACCAAAAGGTCAAAATTGCCTTTCTTTGCCTTTCAAAAGGCTAGGACAACATTAATTGCTAGCTACACATTGGGAATGCACAAAGAAAATTCCAGAAACGAAAGATGAACGAAAGGAAAAATATGATATGATCTCTTTTCAAAGCTCTTGGATCTGGAAGCCAAGCTCATGATGTGGGTGGAGTCTGACTCACGGGTTTTAATCTCACGTGACTGGCATAATCGAAAACGCTACCACAAATCACACAGCAAACTAGTGACAGAGGAAGGAAGAGAATCAAAATCTCCCCAGCAACACACTTTATCCATTAAATTCAGCTCTTTCAGCAGAAATTATAGGCCAGGCTCTGTCGGTTTTGTGAATCCTTTCCCATTTGCTGATAACAGCAGTTGGTAATTCAACGTTCAGCACTCAGAAAGAGCAAAACCTTAGCAGGTAATAACTTAGTAGGAAATGACTTGCTGCAAAGGCTTATCAAAGTATCTTGAGATCCCTTGTGAAGTCTATCAACCACCAGGAGGAGATGAGGAAGAACAGAGAACTTCCTAGGCTTAGTCACTTTTAAATTCAAAGAAAAACAGCTTGCTTAAAGCACCCTGGTACTGATTAAATAAAAGCCTATTATGTATCTGTCCAAAGTAAAGAGCTCAGAAATGGAGGAATTAAATAATACTTTCATCAAGATCAAGAACTCAAACAGTGGACAGAAAGAAAAGAACAAATAATTGACAAACTGGAGGAACACCATTTATGCCTGCTGTTATTCACAAATGAATGTACTTTCTCACGTAGGTTCCCTGAAGCACAGCAAAAGGGATCCACCACTTACAGAAAAAGAGCAAGCTGATGACATATGCATCCTTCTCAGCAGTAGTGCTGGATATTTCTCTTTTAATGATTGCAGCTGGGGATAGGTGTGAGCGTTTGTGGGCAATAAGTTCAAGGAAACAGAACTTTTAAAATGTGCACTATTAACTCACAAAGGGTTACAGAACCTCCTTCTCCCCCGGTGAGCACTTAACTATTGCTCCCTATGGAGAAAGACCTCACCTGAGAAGACCAACTCACACAGTGACTGTGGAAGAGCAAAACAGATTTGAGGATTTGCTGGGGGCAACTATTTAGCCAGCGTTCATCCCATGTAACTTTAGGAATTTAATTAAGAGGCCTCAGGCAAGGGCCTGGTCACTCGAGGTCCTCTTGAAAGTCAAGGAAGGGAAGCACTTCCAAAAGACGATTCTGACTGCTTTTCACTCAGACTGAATCTTATTAGTGTTGGATTTTAGGGGGGATGAATCTGGACCCCCAAAACAGAAAAGCTTCTGGAGTTTGTGGAGACAGAATTTCTGGAAAATTAGTATGCTCCATCTCGGAACCATCACGTTCTGCTCCCGTTGCTTCACATGAGCTTACGTTTAATTAAATTAGCTACTAAAAAAGATACCTGATGCTTTTATAATTAGCCCCCAGAGACCCCAAGCGACACAAGGTCCTGCCCTGGAACTTGGTATAAAAATATTAGGAAGACTCCTCCATCATACCAGCTGCTTGCCTCTATCTGAGTAATGGCAAGAATGAACAAGATGTTCTCCCTTATTATTACAAGACACTCCTCCTTAAACACTTCAGCTATTTCTAATGAATTAATTAAACCTTAAGGATATTTGTGTGCACAAGAGGGGAATGTACTAACACATTACCAAGGAACAAAATTAAGGAGGTTTCAGGAAAAGAAAGGGTCTCAGTGATTTTATGAGCTTGAGCCAAATATTTTTAGCAAAGCAGCTGTAACATCAAGATCCCCTGTTCAGCACAACTAAACGATGTGAACAGGGAGCTCTTCTCAAGTTCAAGCTACTGCTTTTCTGTAAGCGAAATAACTGGAATAAACTTCCTCACTTGTTCCGAAAATACTCAAACTGGTAAATGCACAGTGACTGCAATGCACAAAGACAACTGTATATTATTTTAACTAACCTTAAGGGGTGAGAGGAATCAAGCTTCATTTCCAGTTAGTCTCAAAATACAGCAGTTTTAAAAAAATCTTGTCATTAATAGTGATCACAAAAATGACTCAGCATCTAAGTGCTGGAAAGAGCTGCATATTGGAAAGTGGTGTTTTTTTTCTAAAGGATCAGGATGTATTTGTTTTTATCTGTTATCCTTCTCTTTTCCTTTTTCATTGCATTGAGCACATTCTACACAACAATCCAATGTTTTCTTGGATACTGTGGTAAAGTATGCAGATATGTTTGAGGATACTGAAACACTTTTATTTTTCAAAGGGATTTTAACAAGCTAGCAAAAGCAGGCAGGCTAATTCATCTAAAAATTCAACCTAATCCCAGCAAGGGATTAAGGAGAA